TTTATTCACACCCTTTATCTTCCAAAGTCTGACTTCAAACTTGAGCTGTGACACCGTTAATTACTAAAGTGTAAATTGTATGTGAAATCCAAAATGTTCCATTTTAGTATAAAATTGCCAAACTGGAAACGTAGCTGATTGGAGTATTTTTTTAATTCCCCATTTTGGGCATAATTTTAGAAATTAAAATTTTCTACAATTCACACTTCGTAAATAACCGCAGTATCCGGAGTACCGCCAGTTTGGCTAAGAATGATTTTAGGATTAGTAATCCAAATTTTCCCTACATACAAAGTTTAGTCAGACGTGCTATATAGACTCGGTAAGGTATACATGTATGTACGCAGGAGAAAAAAAATGTCTCTATCTGATCCCAAAAATAGAGATTTTGTATAAAAAAAAAAACTTGGAGTTTGCTGCCGACTAGTGGACAATATTTGAATTAAAGATTTTTCTTCTCCGTTATAAATTATTGTAATATTATATCTGTCTAGATCCTGTGTGAATAGTAGTGGAATCCTATGTCTGAGTACTAGTTAAATAATGTGTTTGGATACAATTTGTTCCAGTGTATCTGATAACTAGTTAGAAGCATGTCTGGTTACTAGTTATTGGTGATATAATTACAACTGTCTATGAAAAATATCAGGTTAATTCATGCAGGAAGGGTTAGTTGTTTAAATGTTATTCATTTTCCCAACTTATTGATGCTCCTTTTATCTACAGATGTGATATTGAGTTGCAGTGCTGTGTCTGTGGCGGTTGCAGTGCTGTGTCTGTGGCGGTTGCAGTGTCTGTCTGTTGCAGTGCTGTTTCTGGGTCGATTGCAGTGCTGTGGCGGTTGCAGTGATGTCTGTTGCGGTTGCAGTGCTGTGGCGGTTGCAGTGCTGTCTGTTGCGGTTGCAGTGCTGTGGTGGTTGATTGCAGTGCTGTGTCTGGGCAGGTTGCAGTGCTGGATCTGTGGCGGTTGCAGTGCTGCATCTGTGGCAGTTGCAGTGCTGTGGCAGTTGCAGTGCTGTGTCTGGGCAGGTTGCAGTGCTGGATCTGTGGCGGTTGCAGTGCTGGGTCTGTGGCGGTTGCAGTGTCTGGGCGGTTTCAGTGCTGTGTCTGTTCCAGTGCTGTGGTGATTCCAGTGCTGGGTCTGTGGCGGTTGCAGTGGTGTCTGTGGCGGTTGCAGTGCTGTGTCTGGGCAGGTTGCAGTGCTGTCTGTTGCAGTGCTGGATCTGTGGCGGTTGCGGTGTCTGTTGCGGTGTCTGTGGCGGTTGCAGTGCTGTGTCTGGGTCGATTGCAGTGCTGTGTCTGTGGTGGTTTCAGTGCTGTCTGTGGTGGTTTCAGTGCTGTCTGTGGCGGTTTCAGTGCTGTCTGTGTCTGTGGTGCTTGCAGTGCTGTGTCGGTTGCAGTGCTGTGTCTGTGGCGGTTGCAGTATTGTCTATTGTTATAGTATATTTGATTGCAGTGTTGTACTCCAGCGGGTTGCAGTGCTCTGTTCAGGTTATTGCAGTGTTTGTTGATTGCCTTGTGTTATTGATTGTTGTACTGAGTTTATTGATTTCAGTGTTATATTCTGGTTGATTGCAGTGCTGTGCATATTGATAAAAGTGGCACAAAATATGGTTTCTTTAGTGTTTTTATTTTGCGATATTGCACTATATTGTGTTTCTTTTTCTAATTTTTATGTGAAATCTCAGAAGAGGACGACGGGGACCATTGTGTGGTATTATGTTATATGTAGAGATGTTATGTGGGGTTTTGTAAGGAAAGCGCTCCACTTATCACGTTTTCTATATTGAGTGCAATGCAGTGCTGTATATCGGTAGATTGCAGTGCTGTGTATATTGAGTGCAGTGCTATATTCCAGTTGATTGCAGTGCTGTGTATATTGAGGGCAGTGCTATATTCCAGTGGATTGCAGTGCTGTGTATATTGAGAGCTGTGCTATATTACAGTGGATTGCAGTGCTGTGTATATTGAAGGCAGTGCTATATTCCAGTGGATTGCAGTGTTATTCTGAAGGTTGAAGTACTGTTGGCAGTAAGTGCAATGTGCGTCTGGCTGTGATACTTTAGCCATGAATTATTACTCCTGTAAGCAACACAGTCACGCCCTGGAAGTTAAGCTTCCGTAGCGTTCTCTGAATGTCTCCGTTACGGACAGTGGTTGTATATTGTAACATTGCAGTGCGGTGCCCAGTGAGATTGCAGCACTGTGCCCAGTTCTTACAATTCTTTTCTTTTCCCCATTTGTCCGCAGGTCAGCTTGGATTCCCGAGTTAGAGAAGTCATTAACAGGCGGATGCAGGAACCATCCTGTCACACGTTCGATGACGCCCAGCTACAGATTTACACCCTGATGCACAGAGACTCTTACCCCAGATTCCTCAGTTCAAGCATTTACAAAGCCCTCCTGCAAAATATTTCACGTTCCAGTTCGGAATCGTAGGACTGAGCAAGAAAGTGGCCTTGCAGTCGGATAGAATAAAATGCACATTTTTTTTTTAACCAACTCCCTATAAGAATAGGGAATGTCTAAGGACGACATGCGGTGAGAGGTTCTCATCCCGTTCCCTCCTCACACCTCATCACACAACCTACGCTGCATAAAGACTCAGAAACAGGGCACAGCAAGGGGAACCTCCTGCAACACACACCTCTGACCTCTTCGATCGCCCTCTCCTCCTGCTGCATATAGGGGTGCTGTGAGGTAGAGGGGTGCTAGGTACTGTACAGAGGCTTACCTCAGGGTACAATACTACTGAACACTCCGTCCTGTCTTCTGTTTGGGAAAGGAGTGGAGAGGTGGGACTAGGCCTCAGCCATAGACCATTCCAAATACCTAAACGTGTTCTAGTCTCAGGCTGGTGCCCTGGAAACGTAAATTGCTGGGGACCCCATTTTATACGACGCCTCCCATGTTATTGACTGGCAACTTCTGGCAATACAACTCTCATCACCGACAACCAGTGTGCAGCTATGATAGGTGATGGGAGTTACTGTGCACCGCCATTTTAGTACCAGTGTTTGCCTGCTGCTGGCTGCCTGACAGGGGAAGTTAGAGGTGAAACTGGAGATGTAGTTTTTTTTTTGTCTGAAAATTGGGGGGGGGGAGAGGGTTACGATTCAATTTGTTTTCCCTTCTACCACTGGTCTGGGTGGGGAATTTTAAAAGGGATGGGGTGGGCAAGGAAGGGGGGAGAGGCGCAGACATCTTTCTGCCTTAGACACATTACTAAATATAATTACATATACATACATATAGACAAATATACACGTACATCAGTACACACATAATATACATAAACATTATGATCAGAACACACAGACACATTACAAAACACATACACAGCAGTACACACATTTCTAAATATGTCCATTTCACTACATTATTAAATATACCAACAAACACGCACAGATAAAGTATAACTATACTGCAGTTACATTACCTACACGTCAGTGTTCACATATTGCGAAGTATTCCTGCACATCAATATACATATATTACTAAATACACTCCAGTGTACACATTGCTAAATATACCTTCAAACCAGTACACACAAACATGGCTCAATAGACACACACACATATACATGCAAACACTGCTTAATACACACAAACATAAATACATACACACTTATACACCAAAATATACACACCGCATTAAACTCGCTCACTGTTAAACACACATAGTCACACACTTGTAAATATACACACATCAATCCACTCACACACACTGCTAAATATACACACATCAATCCACTCACACACACTGCTAAATATACACACATCAATCCACTCACACACACTGCTAAATATATACACATCAATCCACTCACACACACTGCTAAATATACACACATCAATCCACTCACACACACTGCTAAATATATACACATCAATACACTCACACACACACACTGCTAAATATACACACATCAATACACTCACACACACTGCTAAATATACACACATCAATACACTCACACACACTGCTAAATATATACACATCAATACACTCACTCATACACACACTGCTAAATATATACACACACACACACACACAATAAATATATATATATATATATATATATATATACACACACATCAATACACTTACATACTGCTAAACATACACACACATCCATACTCACACACACTGATAAATATATACAAGACTCTAACACACACATAAATGTACAAACACATCCATAAACTCACACACTGCTAAATATATACACATCAATACACACACACACCGCTAAATATACATACGTATCGGTAGATACACCCACATTATTGAATGCACCTCTTGTACAAACACCACACACTCCATACAGTGTGTGTATACACAGGAACATCGTACATAGACTGGGGGGTCTGTTTACAGTGAACATTTTATGCCTCCCATTCTAACTAATAGTAATCTCTGCCCTCCACAATGCCAAAGCGAGGGCCAGCGTTATTGCTCTGCAGACGGTATGGGATTACAAGCTCGGAGTAACGTTATTCCTTTGATACTCACACTATCGTCAGTTGCCAATTACCTGAGGATTTCATAGTAGGAATATCTCCACCAGACAGTGTTATTTTGTTTTCAACACCTCCAAGATACTTTTAAAGGACTTTTTAAAAAAAAATATATGTATAAATATATATCTATATAACATGATTGGTTTTTGCATACATGGTTCTTTTCTTCCTCACTGCCTACTGATTGTGACATAATTTGACATCAGATGTTGAAAGTACTGAGGTAGCAAATATTACATCACATGACATCTATTGGAACCAGAAGCTCTTGATTAAGTGCTGTAGCCTAACACTTAATCATTGTATGATGGTTGTTTTTCCTCTGGGAGGGGAGTGGATTTAAAGAGAAATGATCATGTGATGTAAGAAGCTGAATACAGGCAAACTTTCCTATTATATATATATATTATAAATTTAGATTTTTATTTTTTTAAATCGGATTTTATGTAAAGTTCACTCTGATATCCAAACTGTCTCCTGAAAATGTGCAGACAATGTTTTGGAATGAACATAGAATGGGATGTTCACTAAACAGTACATTGCAGTGACTAAAAATCCAAACCGTAAAATTCAGGTCAAAATAGCGGATTTGGAAATATTAGCCCGACTCAGCTGTAATCCCAGCTTGGCTATTTAACTCGAAAGTTTGTCATTTTACTTTTTAGTTCATTAAAATTCACTGTTTCGGGAATAACCCTCACAGTATTAGGAGTTTACTATCAGAAATCCCCATCGGTTTTATTCTTGCAGAATCCCTGCTTTAAAAGAAGTGCTGAGGGAATCACAGATCACAGACATGTTAGCATTCAAACACAGTTACACTTTTGCCAGATCTTTTACATCCAAGAATACTTTCTAGTGTTAAAAGCCATTAATATCCAACCGCGGAATAATAACTATTAAATGACCGTTCCGCCTTAAAATGCATGTATGTTATAACAATCTGTATTAAATAGTGCAGTTAGCAGACAGGAGCGGATCGAAATTGCTTGTGCAGTTTGCAAATGGGGGAATCACTTTTCTTACACACTCCCCACTTCCTGAGCAGTACAATGGCTTCCGCCAGATGGATTTACACCGGGCACGAAATTACAAGCTGCTTAAAATGGGATAGAATTCCCTGACTCTAATGCACCTCTTTTTTTTTATTTTATTTCATCATCATAAAGGTGCAGGGATTATTTAAACAATTTGTTTCCAGTATTTATAGAATCTGACACATGAAACACGGGGACCAGGTTGTGCAAATTTAGAGCCGTCCCGCTGCCAAATATTGCAGAGTGCTGAGAGTCAGAGTCTGTTCTCTAGCAGAGCAGATTTCTTGTTGGCTGGGAGTCTCTTCCCATCTCTAAAGCATAAATACGTATCTCAAAGTGGTCATTACAGGGTGCGTTTAAACTATACAGGCCTAACCCTTTAAAATATTTGACTGGATATGGAAAACCATGAACCACAAACACATTTTGTAAGTATACTGTTTGGAAACCGCATGCAAACATTGAATCCATTTCTTATCCCTTTTTGATCATTTATTTTATTCACAGGGCCGAGCACTGACTATTTAAGGCTTAATTCCAAATCAATGTGTAGGATTTGGCTTGTCCTTATCGGACAAGTCTTTTTCTAATCCGGTGATGGCTCTAATTATAAAGACTCTCTGAAGGATCCTGGTTCAGAACAACCAGCCAATTCCAATAGAATACAAAAATATTAAATGTACGAAACCTAACTTTTATAATGAATCCACATGGATCTAGACTGCGCTCATTATAATCTAGCAATAAGACTTTACCTGTAAATATAAAGCTTTCTAAGAACGTATTTAACCAGGGAGGTCACATTTAGCTTGTGTAGCCTTCTTGTTGTACAAATACTGGGTAGAACATCGTACATCTAGAATTTAACAAGTTCTGGAAACATTTTCTTAGTTTTGATCCATGTTACCTCTTATCACGTCCATCCTATAGTATGTTCAGAACAGCATTTCGAGGGGCAGACGGGAATTTGCACTATTTTATAAAGTGCTGAATAATGCTAAACTCTTCTATCCCATCCCAAAGGCTCGCTATTGGATGGATATTTGAAGCTGTTCAATGTTTGGTAGTCCTTCACATTTATAAATTACTGATCAGGTAACAAAGTGCCTCTGGCACGTACGGGGGTCAGCTGCAAAGTGCGGATACTCTTCTTACTGGTATTTATAAAGCAGCAACATATTCCGCAGCGCTGTCAATTGGGACTCTCAATTCCATTTAAATGATGCTGAGAATTCAACCTAGCTCCTAGCTTCAACAGCTCCCATGTTAAGGAGGTGTACAGATATCTCCCAAGTTGTGCTCCTGATGCTTTGAGTTACACTAAAACCATTACTAAGCACAATCGCTACCGCCGGTTTGGTGATAGCAGGCAGTGTACCCTAAATATGTCAAACCGCATCAGATGTTTGACTCAAAAAGGTTACTAGTTCCACATGAGCAATACAAGCCGGACTGTGACTGGGGCCAATTAGGAGACCCGCACTTTGGGTCAAGACATTTGAGAGCTGCAGGGGACAGAATCAATAGCCTATCATCTTCATAACCACTACAAAAGGTTACAGTAGTTATGGTGTGTAGAATGCCTTTCTAAGCCTGGAAAAGTATTGCAGAGTGGTGAAAGGGTTAAACAAGCGTGACTTCCTCAGTGGAAAAATAATAAATGGTTGTATATGTTCGTTAATACACCAACTGTAGAACCGGTTTAATCCTCAGGGTCAGAGGCAAGATTCTAAAGATTCAATGCTTTCCCAGAAGTCCTTAATAAATTGGACAACGGTAACATTTATTACTCAGCTGCCAATAAATTTAAATCCTACAAGGCTTTAAGTGAACTTGGAGAGAAAAAAAAAACGGTATTAAAAGATTTGAAAATGTTACATTTAAAACTGTTTTCAACCATGAGAAAACTGGCTTTGTGTCGCTCTTTTGTTAATGGATTCAATATGAACACGACAAGAAGAATTATTCTACACAGACAGATTATGTACCATGGCAAACGTGAAATCACTCCGACACAATGAGGAGTCCTCTAACTAGTAACAAAAAGCAGTTTATTCATTCTTCGGCAGAAATGTCACTTTAGCCAAAAAGTCTAGTACTGACCAATCTTCCCAATAGCGATTATCGAGATATGAAACCTTCACACACTGCTTATTAACCAGCCTTTGATCTTTCAATTCACACTTATATGGAGCCTTCTGCTAACTAGCAAGGGCTCAACAAACAAATAAACAAATAATATATAAAAATGGCAAAAAAATATATATCTAAACAAAAATAAATATGGAATTCTGAACAAACTGCATAAAATAGAAAAAAAATGTAATATATGAGAGAGCATGTATTAGGATGGGTTCACGCCGGGCTGAGTCTCATGCGTTCGTTGGGGGTTCGGTCCGCTTGGTTGAATGGGGACATCCTTAACAAAACTGCCAATATAGACATATTCAAGGCAAATAGATTAGAGATTGAAATTACGAACAGGTTTTAAAGATGGTAATATAATAATTAACCCCATAACATTCCCTCCAAACATATTTTTTGTTCTACATGGCTCTTTTTTAATTAATAAACTGCTATACTTTCCCGGTGCAGTGATACAGTATTGGGTAGGCATGATACACTAGGTTGCCAGCGTTCAGAGTGACACAATGTCACTGTACTAGGGGATCACGGGAAAATAAATTAGCATGAAATGCCCTTTATGTGCCCTTTTTATTAGGCAGGTGTGAGGCCCCGTTATATTAAAAAGGGAAAAAGGATCATGAGGTTTCTCTCACCTTCCATCGGTTCCCACATTCGTTACAGACCACAAAAGTGGTCATTGGTTCATCTGCGCTGCGTGTCTGCACCTGTGAGAGAGTTGGGGGAAAAAAATAATCCCTTTATGCAAGAGGGAACCCAACGATCAGTGTTTGGTCTGTGGCACAAACCCCATATTGGAGCATCTGTGATAAAACGTGTCTAATTTTCTTTGTTCTCAAATTACGTTGGCTGCCAAACCAATTAAATGGCAGCATTCAGTGTATTCCACACAAAATCTAATATTGAGACTAGACACAGTGACATGAGGTTACATATGTTATTTAAAGTCTTTGCACATAACAGCGAATTAATGTTTATAGGTGTGCTTGTACGCAGATAAGCGGGTCTGCTCGCATGGCCTCTACCTACCTGTGTATAAGTGCAATTCTTCTTTTTGCATTTGCCGCACGAAAACAGGTCGGTTTGCGTCCCTCCAGTCTTCGCCATCTGGTGCTCCTGTATAGCTGCCTTGGTCATAGCTTTCCTCATCTCCTTCAGCTCGTTACTGGCCATTTCCTGGGGGTGCAGGGGAGTCACTCACTGCCTCCACCAGTTTACAAGTTAGAGCATGATAAGGGTATCAAAACCTCCCCACCCAGAACCTTCCCCCCTTGTACAATCTCTCCTCACCTCTGAGCTCATTACTGCAATCTGTTCTGGAGTAATCGCTCCGCATAACACGTTCTTCCTCAAATCCGGATTCTTAGAGTCCTTAAGATTAGCAATTCGGCTCCGAATCCGGTTTTTGTATTTCATGTCCGTATTTTGAACTTCCCCATATACCAGTGAGAGCAGTTAAGGGTCTGATAATAAAAGGATAAACTCCAAACGAATACATTTCAATCTACAAATTAGACAATCTATTCCTGAAGCCCTTGTTAAAAACAATGCAAGCCCTGACTCACTGGGACCGCTAACGTCTGCCCTCCCACATTATTCTCCTTCTCCCAGTTATAGCAGAAAGGATATCTTCCTCTATCTGCGCCGCTATCAAATCGTAGTCAGAACCAATCGCAATGTGATCCCCTGGGTAAACGAGAAGATTGATCAATTAGCACAGCAGGTACTGAACTCTGTAACCATCACCAGATCCTAACCTGCACCCTGAACCATGCAGTGCACAACAGATAGAAACCAGAGTCCCGCTGCCCTCCACAGACGGAACACTCCTTATAGCTGCAGTTATAATACACTGTGTGCTGGGAGACAGGGGACCTCCTTACACCATAACCTTATAGCTGCAGTTATAATACACTGTGTGCGGGGAGACAGGGGATCTCCTTACACCATAACCTTATAGCTGCAGTTATAATACACTGTGTGCGGGGAGACAGGGGATCTCCTTACACCATAACCTTATAGCTGCAGTTATAATACACTGTGTGCCGGGAGACAGGGGACCTCCTTACACCATAACCTTATAGCTGCAGTTATAATACACTGTGTGCGGGGAGACAGGGGACCTCCTTACACCATAACCTTATAGCTGCAGTTATAATACACTGTGTGCCGGGAGACAGGGGACCTCCTTACACCATAACCTTATAGCTGCAGTTATAATACACTGTGTGCCGGGAGACAGGGGACCTCCTTACACCATAACCTTATAGCTGCAGTTATAATACACTGTGTGCGGGGAGACAGGGGACCTCCTTACACCATAATCTTATAGCTGCAGTTATAATACACTGTGTGCTGGGAGACAGGGGACCTCCTTACACCATAACCTTATAGCTGCAGTTATAATACACTGTGTGCAGGGAGACACCATAACCGTATAGCTGCAGTTATAATACACTGTCTGTGGGGAGACACCATAACCTTATAGCTGCAGTTATAATACACTGTGTGCGGGAAGACAGGGGACCTCCTTACACCATAACCTTATAAACTGGAGTTACAGTAGAATATACCATGATATAAAATTCATAGATCCAAGGCCACTAGCCAGGTCTTCAGAGTCACTTGCCCCTGCAAGCCATAGCATTCTTTCCAGGGCAAAATATTCACTCTCTAAAGGTGAGTGGAAATTGAAAGACCTCATACACTATGTGCAGGATCACCCCGTAAATGATTTACATAGACTCTTCAGTAGTTAATACAAACACTAATTAATCCGAGGGAAAAAAGGGAGGAGGAGTCTGCGCTAACAAAAATATATATGCTGCAACCCTAAAACGGGAATCCCTCAAAAACCCTTAATAAAATAACAGGAAAGAAAAAGAAGAGGGGAAGGGCTGCGCTATTGGTGCAGGAAATAGTAAGTTTATCACAGTGTAAAAACTATATTAAATAGTCTCTTGTTGGGATAAAATAAAAACAAAGCCCATGCAGTAGTAGAGATCAAATAATAAAATGTCCAATAAAATGCATAAAATCGTCTCACTGATATATGGACAGGGCGTGTATACAATCCTCAGGAGTTGATCCGTCCGGGTTGTAGGTGGTCCGTGTATGTGAAAATAAAAGCACGACAAACTTCCAATGGTATAGTATTGTAACTCAAAGAATAAGTGAAATAAAAAATGGAGGATAATACACTCACATTTGATGGAGATTTGAACCAGCTCTTGGATGAAGGGCACTTAGCGGTATAATCCCTGCTAGAGGATATACTGTGGCAGTGGATCTGTCCGTCCAACTTGGTTTCCGTAGTTGTCCGCAGAATATATAAAAACAATAATAGTGCTCTCAGTTGGAAGAGATAAAAGGAAAATAAAATATACTCACAATGATAGAGCAGAAAGTACTGCTCTATAGGTACAGCACTGGTGGAATGATCCCCACCTGTGGATTGCTTGAGCAGGATACAGTAGAATGCCAGGAAAAATAAATAGATGAAGAGAAGTGTATAGACAATAAAATAAGATTGGTCCTATAAAAAAAGGATACCAAATAAAACTTTTTATTGTTAAAATACACAGTATAAAACCATTTAACGCGTTTCACCTCTGGGGCTTTATCAAAAATGGCAAAAGAACAGTATACCTGGCATTGAACAGTATATATAGCAATGTACAATAGTTAAAATTGGCGCCAAAAACAATTGGACCAATTGCAGACAAGAATTACCACAAATTTTTTTGTGTCTTATAAAATAGAAAGACCTAATCTTTATATAGGTGGGACTTATCTGAGTCCTAGAGTATAATTATATAATAAAAACAAGGGGTAGTTATTAAAATATCATATGTTGAACAGAATCACGTGATCGGAGCAAGGGGGTGTGGGAGATGTAGTAGTGAGCGGCGAATGACGCGCGACTCACTCCAAGAGGTAGTACAGCCCCCTGTTAACATGTGACCGGCAACTAGGAGCTAAGCTCCCAGGGAAATGTAGTTGCACACAGGGAGGGACGGTGAGCGGCTGACTAAGAACTACTGTTAGTCAGTCGCTCTACTCCACAGCCTGCTATATTATGGGTGGTCAGAGAGAGAGTAAAATCTTTAAAATGAAATACAATACAATATAATGAGAGTATTAAGATTGGAGTTAATAACTGATGTAAAATTAGTGCAAAATCAGAGAAAATTATATAAATCAAATACTCTCATTATATTGTATTTTATTTTATTTCATTTTAAAGATTTTACTCTAGCTCATTTTATCAATAGATTTTTTATTCCATTCCATTATTAGAAACATTTTATTTTATTTATATCTGTTTTTATATTTGTATGTGCATATGAATATAACATTTCGTTTTCATTTAATTCTATTTATAAGCACTGTCAGGGATCTGCTTTATGGATGTATTTTGGTCTCTCTGACCACCCATAATATAGCAGGCTGTGGAGTAGAGTGACTGACTAACAGTAGTTCTTAGTCAGCCGCTCACCGTCCCTCCCTGTGTGCAACTACATTTCCCTGGGAGCTTAGCTCCTAGTTGCCGGTCACATGTTAACAGGGGGCTGTACTACCTCTTGGAGTGAGCCGCTCACTACTACATCTCCCACACCCCCTTGCTCCGATCACGTGATTCTGTTCAACATATGATACTTTAATAACTACCCCTTGTTTTTATTATATAATTATACTCTAGGACTCAGATAAGTCCCACCTATATAAAGATTAGGTCTTATTCTATTTTATAAGACACAAAAAAATTTGTGGTAATTCTTGTCTGCAATTGGTCCAATTGTTTTTGGCGCCAATTTTAACTATTGTACATTGCTATATATACTGTTCAATGCCAGGTATACTGTTCTTTTGCCATTTTTGATAAAGCCCCAGAGGTGAAACGCATTAAATGGTTTTATGCTGTGTATTTTAACAATAAAAAGTTTTATTTGGTATCCCTTTTCATAGGACCAATCTTATTTTATTGTCTATACACTTCTCTTCATCTATTTATTTTTCCTGGCATTCTACTGTATCCTGCTCAAGCAATCCAT